GATGACAATGGGGTCATCATGCGGCCTCTTGACCTTGGCCCTATCTTTCTCAGTGATGATAACTTCAGGGAAAGTGTCCTTGGACGCCTGCCTCTCATCAACTGAGCTGACATCCAGCCGCTTGATGTAGTCCTTGGTACCCCGGATTGTTGGGCCGCCTCCAGCAAAGCTGCCTGCTATGATATAGATCGGTTCTTCATCAGTGCCTTATTTTTGGACGGCTGTCCATGGTTTGTCTGCAGGGTCACCTTGGATCTCAAAATATAGGACTTTAGCACTCTTTTATCAGCCAGGCAGTCCAATAGCCGCCTGAGACTATAACAGTCGTTGGTGTTGTGGCCAATGTCCTCATGGAAGTGATAATACTTGTTTTTGTTCCGATTTTTGGCGGAACCTTTCATAGCAGCCAACTTCTCAATGGTCACCCGGTCTTTGAACTCCATGAGGTTGGAGTAACAGTCCTTGTTAAACTCGTACTTTGAGATGTACGGTTTAGAATCCTTCTTTTTCTTCTGGGACGGCTGCTCATAGTCGTCTGCCGCCCAGATCTCTTTTCTCTTTTTATTTTCTTCTTTTTTAGCCGATTGTGATGACCGAATCTCTTTTTTGTTAAACTTCTTGGAGTCCGACTACTTACTGATGTTACAGAGTTCGGTCGCCTGTATATAGGCGTATGCCTCCATTAGAGCTTCTTGGAGGGTAGCAACCCTCTTTCTAACGAGGTCAAACTTAAAGGTTGAACGTTCTTTCAGAACTTTGAAGAAGTCTGTATAGGCCACTTCATCAGACAACCCTTGAATCTGAATTCTCATCAGATTGAACCGCCTGATGTATGACCGTAACCCTTCTCTATCTCCCTGCTGAATTGCGCCCAAGTCAAGACTTGTTTTCTTAGCAGGGATGTTCATAGAGAAGTGGGAAGCAAACAAGTACGCAAGCGTCTTGAAGTTTTTGATGCATTCGGCAGGCAGGTTGCTAAACCATCTTTTGTCGACGCCCTTCAATGTGGCGGGAAACATCGGCACCAGGCGGCATCATCCAATCCCTGTAAGTACATGAGGTTGGTGTAAGCCATTAGGTGATCCTTAGGATTGGTGGTACCATCATTAATACCCACCAACACATTCTTAACCTTAGCCGGTTGGGCCGCCTCGGTTATCTCCTTGGAGAACGCAGAAGGTTGTTCCCCAAGTTTGAGCAGACGAAGCTGCCAATCCAAAGGTTGGACATTCTGTGTTACCTGACCCCCAAAGAGGGTCGGCTGCATGTATGGTTGACCATTTGGTTGTATGGATGCTAAGGCACATACGGAGCCGAATGGATAATATGAGGGCCAGTGTGGACGGACAAGCCGCCTGACTAACCCTCCAGGTTTGATTGCGAATACCTCATTGAGGTATTTTGAAAGCTGTTAGGGTAACTCGACGTTGAAGCCGACTCAGACAGTTGTTGATTCTTCTTCTGCTTGATTAACATCAGGGCATTAGAATAAGTCTTCCTTGAGCCATCCGGCTAGACGTGCCGAATGACCTTCCTCATCCTTGTCTTAGGGAATCGGATCTTTGTAAGATCGATCAAGGGACGCTTCCCCTCCTTTGATTTAGGATGCGGAGTCGGCTCTCGATCTCTGACCGGCTTGTTCCTCTCAAAAAGAGAAAGTTTTTTGGCCGATTGACCACTGTAGGAGCAAACTGTCTTCTTCTCGATCAGGTCCTGTATCTCCCCCTTGAAACTTGTCATGAAGCTCATGAGTTCGTCTCGGGTGATTGGGGCTGTGCCTTTGGCCGCATGGGGTTGTCCAGACGGCTGTCCGGATGGTTGACTTGGACCTGCTTGATCATCGCCCCGTTCCCTTCTTTCCAGGGGACGGGTGCGCCTGGTTCTGAGTGACCAGTCAGGGGCCATATACGTATCGACCTCAAAGTCGTCATCAGTGTCTTGGTCCGTATAGACCTGAGCATTGACCATAGGCCGTTTCTCATTAGGAGGCGGTACAGACTGATGTGAAGCCATCTTAGAAGTACTCTCCCCATAGACGGCGCCAAATGTTTCGGGGTTTTCTGTGTCCCTCGGGAGAGTTACAACACCAAGACTGGACTCCGGGCGCCTGTACCTACAAAACAACGGAGATTCCGATTGGTTAGAGTTCCGCCTCCGACGATCAAGTTAGAACATGTTCAAAAGATAAAAAGTGCGGAATGTGAATGGGATCAGGTTCCTCTTTGGAGAGAAATGATCATCCAGCTATCATAGACAGCCTCAATATCTGAGTATTTACTTTCGTAATTCGTGTGAATTGAATGTCTTCCATGTGTTTCCGTGGTGGAAACATCTCCCTTTTATAGGGTCTCGAAATGCGTGCCTAGTCCTAGGTGATTGGGCTGCCTAGGAGTTTGGGCCTTTGAAAGCCGCCTTTTGATAAGCGCTAAATCGGTCTCACAATCTAGGCTAAGTCAAACACATTTATAACAAACACCTTACTCAAACAAGTTTAATGGCAAGCAAGGGTTCGGTCCACGGAGAACGGGAATCAATCGCTAAATAATCTTAACGCTCAAGCTAAATCGAGAGGAGTAAGTGGTGATTAACTAACAAACTACAACTAAGGATTAAATTCAAGGGATTAAAACACTAGGGGAATGGGATTCACTCAACCAATAGCAATTAAGCAAATAGGGAGGAACAAGGATAATGGAATAGCAAAGACCACATGCAAGACCAACTTCAAACGATATGAAAACAACTAAAATCACTAAGCTTAGATCCCTCATTAACTTAGCAACAAAAGATACATAATCATATTGTAATAGGTAATGAAACGTTCAACTCACATTTCCATGTCGAACCAAACATTTCATGCCATCAAAGTTCAATAATCTAGGTTAATTACTCCTATCAAGAAGAACTAACAAACAATCCCATATAATCCATTTTAATCACAATCCATCATCAAAATCACTCCCAAACTCACATAATCACCATTAGGTTGGGTTTCACCCAACCCCTAGCTAAGGAACTACTCACACATCATATTGAAAAGCACAAAATCAAAATCTAGGGTTGTATCTTGCTCAACAATCATCAAAGAGAAATTCACCAAAAATGGTGCTAAACATTCAACTAATCATAAATAGGGACTAAGAGATTCAAATAAACATGCAAAATAAAGCAAACAAGAGATTAAGAGTAAAGAAAGATAAGAAATGTTACTAAATGAGAGACTTCAATAATCTTGGTTGCAATACTTTTCAAACGTGGAATAATCTTCAAATCAATTACAAAGTGTTTAAATTTGATTAGGAACTAAACAAAATCTAAGAAAATGTGTTTAAACCCAAAACAGAGCACTATTACTAAGCCTTTCTCTCTCTACCATCTCCCTTCATAAATGAGGCAATCAATCTATTTATATTAGTCCAAAACAAAGGGGGCGGAGATGAAACAGATCGGCATAGACGTGCCAAACACTGCACGGTCGTGCAGCATTGGTAGAAGATCTGGAAACTGGAACTGGGGCTTGGCACGGACGTGCCACATAATGGCACGGGTGTGCAGCTAAGGTAGAAGCTTCGACGTGCTCAGCAGCTATCATGCACGGGCGTGCCACCATCATGCACGGCCGTGCAGCTCCCAGCACGGCCGTGCCACCATCATGCACGGCCGTGCAGCTCCCAGCACGGCCGTGCCAATTGTTGCACGTCCGTGCAGCCTTCACAGAAGGTTTAGCCAATCTTCAAACTTCTTTGCACGACCGTGCCAAGCATTGCATGACCGTGCAGAACCCCAGGAGGTCTTCAAATGAAATTCAAGCCTAGCCAAAGATACCCCGAGGCTTTCATGGTTCAGCAAGGTATAGTTTTAAGCCATATTGTGTCTTCTGAAGAAATAAAAGTCGATAAAGCTAAAATAGATCTTATTTCTTCTCTGCCTTACCCCGCCTCAGTGCGGGAAGTTCGTTCCTTTCTTGGCCATGCAGGTTTCTATCGAAGGTTTATTGAAGGCTTTTCGAAGATTGCACAACCATTATGCAGACTACTCCAAAAATATGTGGAGTTCCACTTTGATGAGGCTTGTAAGCAAGCATTTGACAAGCTGAAAGACAAGTTGGTCACTGCCCCTGTTCTACAACCTCCTAGCTGGGAGCTCCTGTTTGAGCTGATGTGCGACGCTTCCAATTATGCTGTAGGGGCAGTGCTACGCCAGCGAGTTGGAAAAGCTCCCCATGCCATCTACTATGCCTCGAGGACTTTGGATGCGGCTCAAGCTAATTATACTACAACTGAGAAAGAAATTTTAGCTGTAGTTTTTGCTTTAGATAAATTTAGGTCTTATTTATTGGGTACTAAAATTGTTGTGTTTACTGATCATGCAGCACTGAAATATTTATGGTCAAAGGATGTATCCAAACCTAGGCTAATACATTGGATTTTATTGCTTCAACAATTTAATGTTGAAATAAAAGATAAAAAAAGGTTCTGACAATAGTGTTGCTGATCATATGAGCAGGTTAGTTATTGAAGCTGATGAAGATAAAGTCCCAATCAATGAGTTCCCCGATGAGCAACTTCATGCCTTGAACCCTGGAACTCCGTGGTATGCTGATTTGGTAAATTTTCTAGTATCTGGGAAGATTCCAGCCAGCTACACCAAAGCACAAAAGGACCGGATGCGAAGCATAACAAAATACTACATATGGGATGACCCATATCTCTAGAAATATTGTGCTGATCAAGTTATCAGAAGGTGCGTACCTGATTTCGAATTTCTTTCTATACTAACTTTCTGTCGTTCTTATGCATGTGGGGGACATTTTGGACCAAAGAGAACTGCACGCAAGGTTTTAGAGAGCAGATTCTATTGGCTCTCTATATTCAAAGATGCATATGATATATGTAAGGCCTGTGATAAATGTCAAAGGACATGTACATTAGGTCCGAGGAATGAAATGCCCCAAACTCCTATTTTATTTTGTGAAATTTTCGACGTTTGGGGTATGGATTTCATGGGACCTTCCCCTCTTCTTTCGGTTTTCAATATATTTTGCTTGTTGTCGATTATGTCTCGAAATGGGTGGAAGCTATAGCCACCCGTACTGATGATTCTAAAGTTGTTGCAGAATTTTTGAAATCAAATATTTTTGCTAGATACGGATTCCCAAGAGCCATCATCAATGACAAGGGGACACACTTTTGCAATAAGACAATAGGAGCTCTCTTGAAAAAGTATAATGTGTTCCATCGAGTGTCCACTGTGTATCACCCACAAACAAATGGACAGGCAGAAGTTTCCAATCGGGAAATCAAGTCCATTCTAGAGAAGACTGTGAATCCAAACAGGAAAGATTGGAGTCTCCGCCTCAACGATGCTCTGTGGGCGTACAGAACAGCGTATAAAACACCGATCGGGATGTCTCCTTACAGGCTAGTAATTGTCAAACCTTGTTACCTTCCAGTAGAATTGGAACACAAAGCTTTTTGGGCCGTGAAGCAATGCAATATGGAGATGGATGCAGCAGGTGAGCAAAGAAAACTTCAGTTACAAGAGCTTGAGGAAATCCGAAATGATGCTTTCGAGAATGCGAGAATTTACAAGGAGAAGACTAAGGCATTCCATGATGAGCGCATAACACGAAAGACATTAACAGTGGGGCAGAAAGTTCTCTTGTACCATTCTCGGCTTAAACTTTTTCCTGGTAAACTCCGTTCTCGATGGGTGGGGCCCTTTATTATTACCAAGGTATATGACCATGGTGCGGTGGAGATTCGTAGTGAGGACACAAGGAAGGAATTCAAGGTGAACGACCATCGACTCAAGCCATACTATGAGGGTTATCAGGTCCACAACATTGAAGTGATGGAGCTAGAAGCTCCAAATTATGACGACTAGCATGCTGAGAAGACGTCGAGCTAACGACGATAAATAAAGCGCTCTTGGGAGGCAGCCCAAATTTAGGAATTTTTTCTAATAATTTTTTTTTTAACTTGGTTTTCTCGAAAAAAAAAATCAGCTCAGATATTTCGTTTGCTCCTATTTTTAAGCCCCTTATAATATTCAGGAAACTGATTATGTTTTTATTTGATATCAGCTGTTGTAGGATGGTGGGATTGGTTGGACACAATGGTGGAGTTAAAGCTAAGCTGAAACGACACCTGCTTATATCCGAAAGTGTTTGCAGCAAGAAAATATGAACATATTCAAGCTTGGGGGATACCATCAGGCTAGATATACAGTCAGTCATCCAAGAAACTTCACCCGGACACATTTACTGGAGCACATACACTACTACAAATCCCGTCCTTTTGAGACGCTTTTTTCCAGTATTTTCGACATTGAAAGCGTCGCTATTTTTTTTCTCGACGCTGTATAAAAGCGTCGAGAAAAAGTGAGTCGAGAAATTCGCGACGCTTTTTCGTGTCACAAATCTCGACGCCCTTTTATGTCCCAATATTTTGTGACACCTTTATGTGTCTTCAATATCGATGCTTATTAATGTCTAATAAAGTATACTAACCGTCGAAAATATCGGTATTCAAGCGCCACCACCAAATTTCTAGGCGCTTTTTCCCGTCCATATTGTCGACGTTGTTTTCAGTCCCAAAATCATTTGAGACGCTTTTTGATGTCTATATAAAAATAGTGGCGGGAAATTTTGAAACTGATTAAAGCAAATTTCTTGACAAGAAAAAGCGACCAGACTTTTTTTTTTTTACAGTTTTTTCTCAAAATAATATAAATAATGTTTTTTCAATATATATATATATATATATATATATATATATATATATATATATATATATATATATATATATATATATATATATAAGCAACGATAAAACATATATAAAATTAATAAAGTTTTTGTCAAAATTAACGAACAAAACAGAGTTGAAATCCAATCCCTGGTCTACATATATACTAACACTGATGGATGTTCAAAAAAAACCTAGCCATGTCCAAAATATCATCATTATTATTATTACATATATCAACTACCAACTAAATTAAAAAGTTAGATTGAAGCCTACATAAGTTAACTACTATCTAACTAACTACAAACAAAAAATGAAGGTGCATAGTAGGCTAATTTCCAGCTTCAATAGGTTTCCTTTGTTCTCATGTTGCATTCATAACCTTCAAAAAAAATAATTAATAAGTATAAATTAATACAGATAGTCATATAATACAAATGAAACCACACAGACACCACTCCTTTTATAAAGAGATTAAAAATCCAACTGAATTTTCACAACCAACCTCCCTCTCCCTAAGTGCAAACCTTCTCATCTACTTTCAATGATTATCTAGGAATTGAACTCAACTATAAGGATATTCCTATAAGAATACTATAGGCAAATGAAGACATCTGTAAAATCCACTACTCCATATTTCACATATTGCATTTGCAACTATATAGATAGAACAAAGGGAAATGTTTGAATCATATACTACATTACACATAGAAACTTCTAAGGTGAGAGAAGAGCTTGCAATGTTCGGAAATTGAACAAATGCATATCAACTGAGCGTCATTTCCCCCTGCACATATATTAATGTATACATAAAAGCATGGGTGAAAAGGCACAAGCAGTGGACAACAACATATACAAACACTTCAACATTCTTATACAAAAATTTAATCATTCAAATTCTTTTTAGTTAAATGCAACATACTAATAAAGCAAGCACAATATAGAAGAATTCTCTTATCATGATTATCTCTCATTTTATAGACTAATTAGCATAAACAATATTCCTTTACATGTTTAAATCAAGTGACACAAAATGGGACCAAAATGGGTCATTTTGGACAATATCAGACCTATATGGGATAAATGGTATGTGCTGAGAAACACGTAAACAGAGAAAATAAATTGTAAGTGAAAGTGGCTAAAGAGATAAATACTACTCCCTCCGTCCCATTAGCACATAGAAATGGAAACCAGACCATGAAACAATGGAAATAAATGTAATAAAGCCAAGAAAGTCATTGGCACCATGCTACCATGTAATTTTTCTCAACAGGCCTGTCTTAACATGAAAGCAGCAGCTAGATATGAAAACCAGACTGTAACAATTGTTAAAGATATGAAAACCAGACTTCAAATTCTTCATTCTACTTTTTTAGATGCTAAAAGACTGAAGGAATTACTAGACAATATGTTGCAAACCTTCATAATTATTAGAGTTTAGACAGCTTATGTACTCTAAGAAAGCACAAATAAAAATAAATGAAATTGTAAGGGAGAGAGGAAGATAGAAACATACAACACGGAAACGAGTATTGAGCTCCTTCCTTATATATGGATTCTTCATAATTTTCTCGTCAACCTTAAGGCCGAGAACAACTGCCTAAAGTATTGGAGCAACCATAAACAAGTCTAGCAAACACCAATATCAGATCAATGTAGAGAGTGAGGCTATTTTCATATCCAAGGCCCAAATAATCAAACAATCAAGCACACAAACCTACGCTAAAAGAGACAAAAAAAAATGGAACGATAGAACCAGGGAATAAGATAGAGAAATGAGCAGAATTTAATAACCTGATAAGTTCTAAGAATCACATCAGCAAGATGGCATGATGCGGTATTTAGAGAAATAAAAGTGCAGACTCTATCTTGCCTTTGAAATGTGAAGAATAAGGAGAGGGGGAAGAAAATCGAACTTAGTTAAAAATAATTATATATTAGACAGTGTTGGAACAACAAGTGTGTAGTGTGTGAATTTTGTGAAAAACTCAAAGTCCCACATTGGTGGGAAATGAGAGTTTTACTCTCTTTATAATATAGAGAGTGGGCTAAAGGGGTGTGGCCCTTGGGCTACCCACATTTTGTGGAGAGGGAGGACCTATATGGTAAACCATCTATCACACGCGCGCCGAACCGAACCGGGCCGGGTTGGGTCGGGTCGGGTCGGGTCGGGTTTATTAAATAAACTTACAATCTTCTTCTCCTCTCTATTTTCCCTCACAAAAACAAAACCCTCGAGCAGTTTCTTTTCCTTTCGGGTGTTTAGTTGCCCGGTGGTTTTGTGCAGTTCCACCGGTATAATTTCAATAGAGAAAGGCTGTTTTATCCTGGGGAACATCCGGTTTAGTACGAACTGCTTGCACCTTTTCAGGGCAGTGCCGTGAATGTTCTAAAGAAAGCGACATAGTCCGCGACTCAGTCTATTTTTCGGTAACTTTGTTCTTACTGTTTTTGTTCCCGCAGTTCCGTTTATAACAATTTTAGAACATTCTTTTTCTGCCTGTATGAACCATATGTCTACCGAAGATATTACTATGTCTGCTGACCTTAACAAGCCCTTCCGTTTTGAAGGAGCTCACTTTAAAAGATGGAAACAGAAAATGCAATTTTTCTTAACTGTCAAAAAAGTAAATTCTGCCTTAACAGCCCCTCGGCCATTTATTCCTGATAATGCTCCTGAAGATGAATTAGCTTACTTGAATAGTGAAATCGAAACCTGGAATGAAACTGACTTCATGTGCAAAAACTATATACTTAATGGTCTGTCTGATAACCTCTATGACTATTATAATATGGAAAATACTGCTAAGGATTTGTGGGATGCCCTACAAAAAAAGTATGATACTGAAGAAGCAGGTGCCAAAAAGTATGCTGTCAGTAGGTACCTAAAATTCCAGATGACTGATGATAAGTCCGTGGAAGTGCAGTCTCACGACCTTCAGAAAATTGCCCATGAGATAATTTCCGAAGGTATGGCCCTTGATGAACAATTTCAAATTGCTGTTATTATTGACAAGTTGCCTCCTTCCTGGAAAGATTTCAAAAATAATCTCAGGCATAAGACTAAGGAATTCTCCTTAGAGAGTTTGATCACTCGGCTACGTATAGAAGAAGAATCCAGAAAACAGGATCTAAAGGAAGAGATTTTACAAATCTCTGCTAATAATGCTCCTAGGCGATCTGCTGCAGTACTTAAACCTGCTGGTAAGAATTTCAAACCTCAGAACCGGAAGAATAACTTCAATAAACCGAATGTTCAAAAGAACAATGGAAGACAACAGTCACAACCCCCTAAGAATGGTACTGGTCAATTTCTGTGCTATCGGTGTGGAAAACCAGGCCATATGGCACGAAAGTGCAGGAACATGCCTAACCCTGTGCCAGCGCAGGCTAGCATGATTGAAGAGCCTTTTGTGGCTATGATTACTGAGATCAACCTTACTGGTGGATCAGATGGGTGGTGGATAGACACTGGTGCCACACGCCATGTCTGTTATGATCGTCGAATGTTTAAAACATACACTGAAAAGACCGATGATAAGAAAGTACTGTTGGGTGATTCCCATTCCACTAACATTGCTGGTGTTGGAAATGTTGAGTTGAAGTTTACTTCTGGCAGGACTCTCATTCTGAAAGATGTGTTACACACTCCGGAAATGAGGAAGAATTTAGTTTCTGGTTTTTTGCTTAATAAGGCTGGTTTTATACAAACCATAGGTTCTGATTTGTTTACTTTAACTAAGAATGGAATATTTGTAGGAAAAGGATATGCTACTGATGGCATGTTCAAACTGAATGTTGAAGTTAATAAAATTTCTAATTCTGCTTATATGTTGTGTTCTACTATTAATGTTTGGCATACTAGACTTTGTCATGTGAACAAAAGACTCATAAAAAATATGAGCAATTTAGGCCTTATTCCAAATATCTCTCTCAATGACTTTGACAAATGTGATTCTTGTAGTCAGGCTAAGATTACAAAAACACCTCATAAATCAGTGATTAGAAATTCAGAACCATTAGACTTAATTCATTCGGATATTTGTGAACTAAATGGAACGTTGACCAGAAATGGACAACGATACTTTATCACCTTTATTGATGATTGTTCTGATTATACTTGTATTTATTTGATGAAAAATAAGAGTGATGCGTTTGAAATGTTTAAGTTGTTTATAACAGAATTTGAGAATCAGTTTAACAAGAAAATAAAAAGATTACGAAGTGATCGTGGAACTGAGTATGATACTGATGCTTTTGTAGAATTTTATAATTCACATGGTATCATACATGAAAGGACAGCTCCTTATTCCCCAGAAATGAATGGAAAGGCTGAAAGGAAAAATAGGACCTTTACAGAATTAGTAGTTGCTATTTCCTTATATTCTGGTGCTGCTGATCATTGGTGGGGTGAAATTCTACTAACTGTTTGTTATGTCTTAAACCGTATTCCAAAGACTAAGAGTAAGGTTTCTCCCTATGAAATACTTCGTAATAAACGACCTAACATTTCTTATTTCAGAACTTGGGGTTGTCTAGCATATGTTAGGATTCCTGATCCTAAAAGAGTTAAATTAGCTAGTAGAGCTTATGAATGCGTATTCA